AAACTTAGTTCTTCCCGTGGCTACTGCTACAGTCGAGAGATCATTTTCTGCGATGACTTGTGTCAAAAATCATCTGTGCAATCGAATTGGAGATCAATGGTTGAATGATAGTTTGATTGCATATATTGAGAAAGATGTGTTTGACAAGATTGAAAATGATATAATTATGGAACGATATCAAAATATACAAACACGTAGAGAACAATTGTAATAAAATATCTTTTACTTTAATTTTTTTTGTCACTTTTTGAAAGTTCGATTGTGCCTGCCAACATAAAAAGTCTGCGTCCACCCCTGATGATGTATAGTATAGTAAGTGGAATGGAAGGAAATACCATTTTTTAAGGACCGCGATTGGAGTAGAGGGACTCCAATCACAGGTCCTTGCCCGGCCAAACACAGCAGGTGGGGCCGGGCAATTTTTTTTTTTTAAATCTCACATGTGGGGTCCGCCCCCACATGTGAGAGGCCTGTAAGGCTTCGGTAAAACCGAGGCCTGTAATCAGGCCTTTATCCATTTTTTAACCTCTTTAAATTTCTTTTGTTCAAGGGAGGTCTTTTTTCTCCAGCCTATTAACATGCTGCTCAAATTAACTTTGCATTGCCCACATTGATTACGAATTGAAGTTAGTTTCTGATAAAAAATTAAAAAATAATCAAAATTGATTTGTGTCCGTTCATAGATGTGTTGCCTCTCAGAGCCCTGAATCACAACCCTCTCTAGAGATAATTTTTTCAAGAATGTCGCTTTTAGAAAGTTCTTTCAGTCCACTTCACTGGCCTGAGAAGGTGTTCAAACAGCCACTCTAGAACAAGGTTGAAGCTAGCGTGCTTGATTAATAAGACAGAAATTGACATTTTTTGTAAGCCTTGCCTCAACTAAGCTCGTAAAAATTTGAAGCTTAACCTTATCATCTGATCACGCTTTACACTAATTAGAACACTGATTATTTTACTTCATTGCATCACTACTACATACACTCGACCCATTAAAAATAAATAAAAGCTTCAATGTGACATTGTCCATAAATTGCAAGCACTTGTGTTCATTATCCTAAACATCTAAAAGAGGTAGTTTTCCTTATGCCAGGTGTCAGCAAAATGTATCGTCAACCATAACGACACCGTTTGCTCTCTCCCTTATTTCACTTTCATTCTCTCCCTCGTTCCCCACACAAAAACCCTAGCGAACAACCTATTCCTGCCCAAAATCCATCGATTTCGTTCACAAAATTGACAGTGTATTCATCCATCCCCGACCTCCTACAACCGCAAATAACACAGCCCACTGGTGCCTATTTTCTCTGCAAACTCGACCTAGCCTCTGCCTGAAAGGTAGCTCCTTCATTTTTCCGACAACGAGGTAGTGAAGAGGCACCGCCTCTCCGTGTGTTACAGAGACTCCGATCGTACGCTGACCGTGTTTCTGTGAGACGTCGTTGGATTCTTGAAACGAGAAACCTGTGTTTTACTTAGAACCTACCGAAACTACTGCCACGAAATCGCCACCGACACTGTTTCGAGGATGGCTCCGTCGCGCACGGAGACCGAACCATGTCTCTGTGCGCGACTGAGACACGGTCCGTTCACTTTCACAAACCCTACATTCAATTCCTAGCATTTCATTCGATTAAACCGATAGATTTTTTGACAATTTCCATTTCGTTTTCTCGAATTTCAGTTTTCCCGATATCGAGAAATCTCGAGATATGGCAAGCTCCACCACCAGTAATGTTTATGTACACATCATCGAAGACGTCATCAGCAAGGTCCGCGAAGAGTTCATCAACAATGGAGGTC